CCTCTGGTTCCCCCTCATCTGCTCCATGTCCTCTGGTTCCCCCTCATCTGCTCCATGTCCTCTGGTTCCCCCTCATCTGCTCCATGTCCTCTACTCTTTCTGCTGGCACAAACCAGTGACCACAGCATGGGGATCACATCTGGGATGGGCGCTGGAGGGGCAGGTGAGTGGTTCCTGTGATGCTCTACACAGAAAGCCCACACAAGGCCATGTTCAACCCATGGGCTGGAAGGGGGACACTGGTGCCTCTGGCACAGGGTAGGCTCTGGTGGGGGGCAGGAGCCCAGGACTGTGTGGTTCATCCTCAGCCTCTCTGTGCTTCCAGGGCACATCCATTTTCATATAAACCTAGAGACAGCATCAGTAGTAAATGGCCTGCCACCTGCCCCGGCCTGGCCTGGTCCCATGAGTATAAACAAACAGCTCTACAACAGCCCAGTACAGTGGGAAAACTCACCCATAAAACAGTGACCAGGGCCAGGCACGGTGGCTCATGCCTGTAATCCTAGCACTTGGGGAAGCTGAGGTGGGCAGATCATAAGGTCAGGAGTTCAAGACCTGCATGGCCAATATGTCTACCTGTCTCTACTAAAAATAATACAAAAATTAGCCAGGCGTGGTAGTAGGTGCCTGTAGTGCCAGCTACTCAGGTGGCTGAGGCAGGAGAATGACTTGAACCCAGGAAGCGGAGGTTGCAGTGAGCTGAGATCGTGCCACTGTATTCCACCCTGGGCAACAGAGTGAGACTCCATCTCAAAAACAAACAACACTGACCAGGCCCTTTCCTGTCCAGAAGCTGTGATACTGCACAAACCCGTCCACCTTATTCAAGAAGGTACCTGAATACTCCGGATCCTCTGGCTTGCCCTGGACACAATCGGGGTGTCCATGGAGCCCCAGAGGCTCTCCCTTCTCCCCCGAGCCTGAGCCAGAGAAGTCCTGGGGCCTGACATGCAGCCCCTCCACCCAGTAAGGCCAGGCCCCCAGCCTGGGCAGGAGGGAGATGTGACAGCCAACATCCTTCCCAGATGTCTGTCCCCCTGGGGGGGTCTCAGCGGTAGTGCAGCTACTCTCCAGTGGAGGGAGAGGCCCAGGACAACCTGACCCAGGTCACCTCTTCTCCCCTCCCCATATCCAAGGAAGGTTTGTGAGGGCCTAAAGGATACAGGCAAGACCAAGGCCAACAGGTCTTGGGGAGAAGAGCTCATGGGACAGGGATGGAGACAGACCCACAATGAGGACACAGGGAGGGTTGGCAGAGTTGCACTCTGGCCTCTCTGAAGACCCAGCCCCTGGGCTCCAAGGTGACGAGATCTCAGATAGCACTTGTGTTCCGTGGGGGAGTGCAGGCTGCTTGAGGAAAACACCTGCAGCACGGGGAGTGGGAGGGAGGCTTGGGCATAGCCAGTACCTCGAAATGCACAGGATGTAAAAATCAAGGTGCCCCCAACACATGCCGCACGCTACCCCACAGAAGGGCTTAGAACACTCACTCCTGTCCCACATACACACTGCCCAAGTCGAAATGAAGTCCTTCCTGTGGCTTAACAGCCTGCTGCCTCCTCTGCCCCAGCCCGCGGGACCAATGTGCTGAGTCCCAGGTGCTGCAGGGCAGATGGGGACCCAGGGATGGAGGCCAGAGCGGACACTCCTCCTGGCACCAATGGTTTTCACCCCACTGGATCAGAAACAAAGGCTTGGCAACCAGAGATTAAATTATTCACATTGCAGTAAACTTCTTTTTAAGGTCTCTGAGAGTTACAATAGGAACATCATGTGCAAAACTGACAGCTGTCCAAGGGCCCAGCCGACAGGACACTCTCCTTGCCAGCTCGGCCAGGCCCTCCCGAGCGGGGACAGCTGCAGGGCTCGGCTGAGCCCTGGTGGACAAGGCAAAGAGCCTTCCACCTGCACTGGGGCTCGTGTCCCTCGGCAGCTCCCTGCTCCTTCACAGTAGAGGACCTGAGCCGCCCGGGGCTACCTGTGCCTGGAGCTTCTCGCTGGCCCCGAACAAGGGCTGACAACGCAGGTCTGGACAGCTCCTTTCGGAAAGGCCTACAACGACTGTGCAGAAGGTTTGGGTGCCCCACCATCCGCTGCCCATCATGCTGAGTCCTGGTCCATGCTGCAGCCCAGTGCCTCGATGTCGCTGCTGATGTCCGAGATCATGCGGTCCCACTCATCCCCCTCTGAAGGCGCTGACCGGTCATCAGAGCTGCCCGTGGCCCTGTTCCCATTGGTGGTGGAACTGGACGTGGTACTCAGGGCCCGCCGGTGCCTGCCAAAGCTGTCGGTGATGATGCCACGGCCATCCTTCACGCCAATGGTCTCCAGGAAGTTCTCGAAGTGCTGGCTGTCCTTCTCAGGGATGAAGGGCCTCAGACCTGCAGACACACGACACCCAGCATGGCACCTCCAGTTCGGCTCAGCCCACTCAGCTCTTCTCCCAGGGCTCAGAGCCCTCTGACAGGGCCACAGCTGCCCCTGGTGCATGGCCTGCGGGACTCTGATGCCATGCTCCTCCTTGCATCTAGCATCCTGGTTGAAATAGTTTCCTGGGTCCAGACGGTTTAGCTAAAACCTCCTCTGACAGGCACTGCGGCTGGCCCTGACAGCTTACTGCCTCTGCCACATGCACCCACCCTGGCCTCAAGGCACCAGCACAGGCCAAGAGCCTGTGGCCTCCTCTCATTGTCTACTAGTCCTCACAAAGGCCCCATTTTACAGTGAGGAAAGTGAGGCCCAGAGCAGTCCTCCTGCTGGCACACAGCAACAAGGCTGCAGTCCTCAGAGGTAGGCCTCATGCCAAAGTCCACTGTTCCCCTGCCACGGCCTGGCCCAGGGTGACTGCCGCAACTCAGAGGGCTGCCCTCTTATTTGGCAAGCCAAACTCTACTCCCCACTGTGGGTGGGCACACAGAGCCCCATGCCAGGAAGTGACGCAGGGCCCAGCACAGAAGGAGTTCCTGATCTCTGGATTGTGCTTTCATGGCCATCTCTAGTTCCAATCTCCCATCGCTGATGGAGCCCCTGTTGCACCCACTGAGGGGTCCGTGTGCACATTCCCAGGAGGGATTAGCCTCCCCAAGCCAGGTTTGGACAAGCCAGTCTCTCTCCGGGGCCCACTCACCAAGCAGCAGGAACTTGCGGCTATCCCCATAGAGCTGCCGCAGGTTGATGCAGAACTCGTGGATTGAGGCCCCATTGCGGTACTCGTGCAGCAGTGCCGCAAACTGCTGGATCTCCTGCGACGACAGCTTGGTGCGCAGCTGCAAGAGAGCAGGGCCAGGTGCAGGGTTGGGTGCAGTGGGCAAGAGTCGGCAGTCAGGCCTACCCTGCGACAGCCACCGACTCCAGCCAGAGCACCAGCTCTGGTTTCACCTCTGCATAGGCTGAGGCATCAGAATGCCCACACTGTGTCCCCATCCTGTCAGGTCCGGCACAAGGCCACCCAGAGGAAACCAAGGCACCCAGACAGCTCCACCCTCCTGAGCTGGAACACAGAGTGCACAGGAAGGACAGGAGCCAGCAGGGCAGGGTGGAAGTTGGCAACCTGGCCTGGGGCCAATGCCCATGCCCTTAGGCTACACACAGGGAGGTCAGGAACACTGTTTTCAATGACAGAACTATATAAGATGAGAAGAATAAAAGTGCCTGGCCACGTGGCCTTGCAGGGACCACTGTTCCCTTCCCTCCCACAGGACCGAAGCAGAAGCCCAAAGTCCAGCCCTGATGACCATAGTACCCCGAACTCAGCCCCACTGACTCATGCTCTCCTAGACTGTCCCCGGGAAAAGGTGGCGATCTCAGAAAAACTGATCAAGAGTACCCTAGGTGACCTCACTCACTGCAGCCTGCCCTGCACTGCTGCTCCTTCTCCTCCCTTCCCCCATCCTCCCTGGGATACCCCCTCCCTCATGCAGTCCAGTGTCCCTGTGGCAGAGGCCTACCGTCAGCATGTAGTCTTGCAGCAGCTCAGTGGCGCTGGCGCTCAGCTCACTCTCACTGATGGTCTTGCTGTGGGGTGACGCGCCACCCACATCCACGGATTCAGGGAAACAGCTGGGAAGAAATGTGGTATGTGAGTGGGTAGCTTCCCCGACCCTTCCATCCCACACACGTTTCAGGAAACCTAGTCTGTGCTGTGTGTGTGGGTCCCCGTCCTCGAACAGAGGAATGTAAGTGATGACAATGAGAGGAGAGCTGGCTGGGCGTGCAGGGTGGTCAGCTTGGCCTGGTCCTGGGGCTCCCTGCGGGTATGGCTCTGAGTTGGGCTCTGAGTGAAGGGAGGGAGTACATAGGTCAAGGCGGTGGGCAGCACTGTTGGGAGTGGGGAGCAACAGGCTCGGAGGGAGGAGCTGGGGTGGGGGGTAGCAGGAAAGGAGAGCATGTGTGGGCTGAACTACTACAGAGGCCCAGGCCGAGGCAGAGACAGGTCAGAAGGCCAGTGCCTCAGCAGGCTTGGGCAGGGGGACGGCTCGATCCAACACGCCTGTTACAAGCTCATTCTTGGGAGGCCAAGGGAAAGTGGACAGGGAGAGACCAGAGGGACAGCAAGCGCTCTAGAAATCTATGAGGAGAGGGCAGTGAGCCAAGCTTCAGCCACTCACTAAGCTTGGGACAGTGGGTCTGGGGATGGCTTAGTGAGGGTGAACTAAGTTAGGGGGCCAACTGGCTGCAGCCTGGACAACACGGAGCAATGCATTTGGTGCATGTCCCACCGCAGGGCTTGGTGGCATGTGCACTCACAAAGTGCTGGCTTCCACCTCATAGGTCTCCTTAATGTCCACTTTTGTAGAAGAGTCATCTGCAAGGAAGATGCAAAAAACTAAGATGATTTTTGGGAACACAGTGGGGAGGCATTTCAAGTCCAGCCTATTGCTGTTTACAGGAGACAACGGCAGCCCCAGCCTTCAGGGACCCTGCTGTCCTTCATCAAGCTGCCCGCACTCTGGAATGTGCTGTGTGCCTCAGGGCAGGGCCCCCTCAGACTTGAGCCCACACACACCCCTCCTGGGGATCCTGGCAAATGCAAATCCTGCTGCAGGCTGTCCTGAAGTCCACATTCACCCATGGCCAGAGCCAACAAAAGCTGTCCTTGAGGTATCACTCATGTGCCAGGCAGGGTTACTGGGGCTGTGTCTCCTTTAACTCAGGCACATATCACCCCTGTCATCACTTGTAGATGAGGAAGTAAGTCAGAGAGGTCACACAACTTAGCCCAGGTCACACAGCAGAAACCACAGTCAGAGCCGGGCAGTCTGACTCCCCACCTGAACCCCGTGAAGCCACAGGATTACTGAGATCCTCAGACCAGCAAAGGGTCTGGCACTGAGCAGCAACATTCAACAAATGACATTAGGTCTATGTGACACAGACTGTAATTTGCTATTCCAAACCCGGGGAAGGCACATTTCCACACCACCACAGGCAGTCAGTGAAAGCTTTGTGAGCGAGGCAGGTGAGTGTTGTGGAGAGGGTAAGACTAAATGGGAGCAGAGGGAGACACTGGGAGATAAAAGGGACATTTCTGGCACTTACTAAAAGGTAAGTATGGCGGGCAGAATAATGACCCCCCCCAAAGATGTCCACATCCTAATCCCTGGAATTGGTGAATATGTTACCAATTTCAAAGGGAAGTAAAGGATGCTAATTGGCTGACCTTGAAATAGAGAGATGACCCTGGAGAATTTGGGTGGGCTCAATGTGAATGCAAGGGTCCCGAAATGCAGAGGAAGCTGAGAGTCAAAGGAAGATGTGACTGTGGAAGACGTCACGTGGCTGGCTGTGAAGATAAGAGGAAGGGCCATGAGCCAAGGCATGTGGCCACCTCTAGGAGCTGGAAAGACAAGGAAATGGCTTCCTCTCTGGAGCCTCTAGAAGGAACCAGCCCTGTGGACACAACTTTAGCCCAGTGAGACCCACATTGGACTCTAATGTATAGGATTATAAGAGAATATATTTCTGTTTACATTGCTATGTTTTGGCATAGCTGTAGTAGAGAGAGCTAACACAGTAAGCAAAACTCCAAAGCAGAAATAAGCGGAGAATGCACGCATGAGTGAGTGTGCGTAATGTGTACACATCCGTGTGTGGATCCCATGAGGAGGTCTAGGGAAAGACTGGCAGGGGAAGAGGCCCACTTAAGCAGCCCCAAGTAGTAGTGTTACATCATGTGTTTACTTTGTGAAAATTCATTCAACTGTACACGTTATGACTTGTGTACTTCTCAGTTAAAAATTTTATTAAAGAAGGCCAGGCGTGGTGGCTCACACCTGTAATACCAACCCTTTGGGAGGCTGAGGCAGGTGGATCATGAGGTTAGGAGTTTGAGACCAGCCTGGCCAGCATGGTGAAACTCTGTCTCTACTAAAAATACGAAAGATTAGCCAGGCATAGTGGTGGCGCACCTGAGTAGTCTCAGCTACTTGGGAGGCTGAGGCAGGAGAATTGCTTGAACCTGGCAGCCGGAGGTTGCAGTGAGCCGAGATTACGCCACTGTACTCCAGCCTGGGAGA